TGCCCCTCCTCTGCTCACGCTCTGTCTCTCTCTCTCTCTAAAAAATAAATAAACATTAAAAATTGCATCCTAACTCATACACTATCATCCAGCCTATTTTGTTTTGTATACAAATTAAGGCTTAACCTCAATTTCCTCATCTATAAAATGGGAATAATTTACTTGACCCAGTTGTCTAAGGACTAGAAATAATACATGTAAATTTCCCTGCTAGTGCTATGGCTAATAACTGGCAATAAATGGAAGGTATTATGTCCTGTTGTGACTTTTAAAAAATGTGTTCCTGAAATAAAAATAATAGTTGCTTTAAAATACTCCACCATACCCATCCCCCCAAATGTGGAGGGGAGAAGCCAGACAAAAATAGCAAATTTGGTAACTGGCGTAAACTGAATGATAGGTATGTGGGGGTTAATTATACTGTTCTTGCTAATATTGTGTTTGAAAATATTTATAGTGAAAAAGTTAAAATAAATAAAATCTTCCTATAGAGAAATAAATGGATTCCTGGACATAATCCAAAGTGAATCTCTTTGGGAAAAATAAAACCATATTAAATCCTTGAGAAATTAGTTTGGGTACCCAAGGGAGAGGGCAGTTGGAGAAGTCAAAAAAATGTTTTCATTTTCCCATTAAGGGCAAAAGGCAGAGCCTCAGGGCCATGGAGGCCAGGCAGTTTCCACAACCTTGGCACTACTGTCCGGCACTTGCATGGCCCCCAAGGCAGCTGTAAGGCAGTGGGCTCCAGAGTGCCCCTGGAGGGTCGCCATGTGGAGTGGAGCCTTCCCTCCTGCCCTGCCCACTTCAAGTCAGCTCCATGACTTCTGTGGCTTTGGCCTTCTTGCCCCTCAATCCTTTGCTCCCACCTGTGAGGGAGCTCACCAGGACCCTACCACCTATGGATAAGCTCTGAAGCAAAGGTGTCACTGTATGAACCTCATCTTGCCATTACAGAGCAGGCTCCATGCTATCTATCAGTGCAAAGCCTGATGCGGAGCTTTAATTCACGAAGAGTGAGATCATGACCTGAGCTGAAATCAAGAGTTGAATGCTTAACCGACTGAGCCAATCTAGGCACTCCAAACAGATTCTTAACTATAGAGAACAAACTGGGGGGTTACTGGAGGAATAATGGGGGGGATGGGCTAGATGTGATGGGTATTAAGGAGGACACTTGTGATGAGCACTGGGTGTTATATGTAAGTGATGAATTACTAAATTCTACTCTTGAAACTAATATTGCCTTGTGTGTTAACTAACTGGAATTTAAATAGAAACTTGAAACAAAAAAAAAAGTTGAGGCTTAGAAGATCATACATGATAAATGATATAGGGGGGGAACATATGGATCAAATAAAAGAAGTCTGCAACCAAATCTGACCCAGAGACGGGCAATTTCTTACCCTAGGTGTATCCCTAACTACTTACAGTACTACTACTTCTTATGGAAGTTCTCCCTGCATTATTCAAGCCAAATCAGAGCCCCTACCTTCCTTTTTTCCCATGGTTCAGGTTTCAGAGAAGGCCTAATCCATCACTGTGTCCCACATCAAACATCAGACAATAGTGATTTCCTCAGTAATTCTATTGAATAAGCTCACCTATGTCTGCATGTCTGGTTGCTTATGTCTGAAAATGGTTCTTGTAATTATCAGCTTTACAACTGCTACATTTAGCAGCCATCCTATATATTATCCCTGTAATATTCTGTGAAATGAAATCTGCTTTTCAGATATTAACAGAGCCCCCCCCCCCCAGCTTTCTTTGCCTCCTGTAATTATGGTACACCTTTTTCTATCCTCTTCAGTTCTTTGTATGCATATATTTAAAGTGGGTTCCTTTTAGGCAGCATATAGTTGGGTCTTGCCTTTAAAGAAAAAAATCTAATCTTGTTAATCTAACCTTGGCCTTTTATTTGCAATATCACTTTCTAGCCTACGGATTTAAAAAGAAAAAAAAAATGAATGCACTCATCTTTCTGCACCTAGGGTTTTTTTCCTCTAACACAACACTTAAAAGATAGTTGTCATTCCTTACATAAATTTTCATGGTTGTAGCAAGGGCTTGGGATATGGCAGTGCCCAGCGAGAATGTCTGGTGTATGAGATGGGGCACGTCAGAGACAACCAGAACTGCCAGTGAACTTTTGCATTAGTTTAGTAGGTATAACAGAGGACCTGAACTTCAAGGTCCTCTGAAGAAGTTCCTTTCTACTGAAAGAAGAAACAGAAGCTGGTGACAGATTGGTTATAGTCACCAAGATTTCTCTTTTCTGGTCTCTGGGTAAGTATTAGTCACCCTTTTTACTGAAATTATGCAAAGGATAACAAAGTTCAGAGTGTCTGCGCTGCTGAGAACTTAGGGGCATTTTGTTCAACCTTTCCTTTTACAGTCCAGGAAAAGGAAGTGAAATAATATGTCTTGGGTCATGTCTCTGGCTAGTAGTGGGGGTTGGAATAGAACCAAATCCTTTATGGATTTCCAGAAAGCCTGGAGAACCTTATTGGTGAATGATAACTTTTGAATTCTGCTTGTGGAAAATAAGATATATTCAATTTCTACTCTTCACCTGTTTTGGTTTGTGGTCCAAACCACTCAGAGAGTCGGAGAAAAACAATAATGACACAACAAACAGGGAAAACCCTAAGAACAGAATGAAACGCACAGACAGCAAAACACAGAGACTGACAGAGCAACTGGGACAAACAGATAAGAGAACACAGTGACAGAAAATGAAAGTAGAAAACAAGATTTTCAGGGAGTTGCCTGGAGGGTAGGGTTATTAGCACCATCTTGTGGTCTCTTCAGAGACTGCCTCTAAGGTTAATTTTTGAATCTGTAACTGAACTCCAGATCTGACTATGTGGGTGAGTAGGTCTGGAACAGAGGGCCTCAAGCTTTAGTGTGCCTGAGAATTAACTGGAGAGCATGTGAAAATGCAAATTCCTGGGACTTTCTCTCAGAGAGGCAAGTAGACCAAAGTGGGCCAAGGATCTATGCTTTTAGAAAGCCTCCAAGTAGTCCAGGACCTGGAACCATGTATAAGAAACACTGCAGGGGGCGCCTGGTGGCTCAGTCAGTTAGGCATTCGACTTCAGCTGAGGTCATGACTCGCAATTTGTGAGTTTAAGCTCCGCCTTGGGCTCTGTGCTGACATCTCAGAGCCTGGAGCCTGCTTCAGATTGTGTCTCCCCTCTCTCTGACCCTCCCCCACTCATTCTCTCTCTCTCTCGCTCTCTCGCTCTCAAAAATAAACATTTAAAAAAATTGTCCATATAGGGGTGCCTGGGTGGCTCAGTCGGTTGAGCATACAACCTCAGCCCAGGTCATGATCTTGCAGTTTGTGAGTTCAAGCCCCATATCGGGCTCTGTGCTGACAGCTCAGAGCCTGGAGCCTGCTTCAGATTGTGTCTCCCCTCTCTCTGACCCTCCCCCACTCATTCTCTCTCTCTCTCGCTCTCTCGCTCTCAAAAATAAACATTTAAAAAAATTGTCCATATAGGGGTGCCTGGGTGGCTCAGTCGGTTGAGCATACAACCTCAGCCCAGGTCATGATCTTGCAGTTTGTGAGTTCAAGCCCCATATCGGGCTCTGTGCTGACAGCTCAGAGCCTGGAGCCTGCTTCAGATTCTGTCTCCCTCTCTCTCTGCCCCTCCCCTGCTCATACTCTGTCTCTCTCTGTCTCTCAAAATTAATGTTTAAAAAAAATTTTTTAGAAAAGAAAAACTGCAGAAGGCAGCAATTAGTGGTATTCATCCCCTTGGCATCGTGGGAAAGTGGAGGTTCTAAAAGCTTGGATGACAATTGTCAAGAAATAAAAAAGGACTGAGATTTTAGCCTCCTTGCAAATTAACAAGTTAGCCTGTCACAGCATCAAGAATGCTGGTAGATGAGACTCGTGGATCAGAGACAAAGAGCTGTGCATTACTAACACTGGTAACAGTAGTCTGAGAATTAGCCTTTTGACCACTTTTCTGAGCCTCAATTACCAGACACCTAGGTGATGAGGGCCATGGTAGGCTGCATTATAGGAGAGGCACTAGAAGCTCAGGGAAACTGAGTCTCTCATGGAGATTAGGTCTGCTAGATATTTGCGTGGAAGGGGACATTATCTGTCTTCCAAGGCTATTCAACCACAGAAGCATGCTTGAAAAGATTTTCCAAAAAAAGGCAGAAATATGACACACGTGGAGAACTGTCTTCCAACACAAACTGGGAAAAGGGAAGCATGTCAGGGGAAAGGAATCCTACATCTGAAGGCTGTAAAGTAATCAAACTGAGGCAAGAATGGGCAGTTGGAGAGATTCAGCCTGGATTCTAATTCCCATAGCTAACTGTGCAGAAATCCTTAAATGTCTCTGGTTTAACGGGGGCCTGCCTAATGTAATGAGCACTTTCCAGATTCATTTCACTTTAATCCTCATCTCATGCAGAGAAGAGCTGCAAATGGTGATCATTTTACTCATGAGAAAACAGATTCTGAAAGACTGTGACATACCCACTTATGCAACCACGAGACCGGAAAACTTTTTAGAGGTCTTCCCACTACCTCCCTTCTCTCACCTGTTTCCGTCTTATCCCGGGGGCAGGGGCAGGAATAAGACTGGTCAAAATAAGTAAACAACGAAAGCAAAAGTAGGAAACAGATGTCTAAGGCTCAGCTACTATTTCAGAACCAGGAAGTGGAGAGCTCGCTCTTCTCCAACCTCGCCGACCTGAGGTTTCCAGAGATTCGGTGAGGAAGGATCTTAAACTTCATTTCCCATTTCAAATCGTTAATAGGTTTCCAATGAAACGGGAGCCCTAAAGCACAACTGGGGAGCTTTTCCCTGAACCTGGCTAGACTACCCAGAGGATAGGCGGGGACTGACGAGGACCGCAAAGTACACGGATCCGCCCCGTTGTTTCGGGGTTTCCTGAGCCAACCGGAATTAGGGCGGAACCTCCCAAGCGCGTCCCGCGCGATTGGTCAGCGCCTCTGTCGCTCAGCACGCCGAACGGAAGGAGTCGGGAGCCGCCCAGCGTGGGTCCTGAATCCTGAAAGTGGCTGGGAGGGGTGGGAGCCGAAGTTACGCGCTGGGGAGCCGGTGGCCATAGCTATGGAGCTGGGCCCCGCCGCGTCCCCCGGGCCTTCCCGCTCCTTCAAGGAGGAGCTGCTCTGTGCCGTCTGCTACGATCCCTTCCGCGACGCCGTGACTCTGCGCTGCGGCCACAACTTCTGCCGCGGGTGCGTGACCCGCTGTTGGGAGGTGCAGGTGATGCCCACCTGCCCAGTGTGCAAGGACCGCGCGGCCCTCGCCGACCTGCGCACTAACCACACCCTCAACAACTTGGTAGAGAAGCTGCTGCGAGAGGAGGCCGAGGGCGCGCGCTGGGCGGGCCACCGCTCCCCGCGCCTCTGCCGCCTGCACCGCGGCCAGTTCAGCCTCTTCTGCCTCGACGATAAGGAGCTGCTGTGCTGCTCGTGCCAGGCCGACCCTCGGCACCAGGGGCACCGCATACAGCCAGTGAAAGACACCGCCCACGACTTTCGGGTAAGAGCCGCAGCGTGAGGGAGGTGGCCGAGCGCGCACGTGGCGGCAGCGTCCTGACAGGACCTCTGCACCCTGGACCCCGCGGCTCCCGTCAGAGCTGTGTGCCCAGACCCGCCCCTCGTCCTGCGGCCGGGACCTCCAGCTCTCAGACTCCGCTCACCTACAGAGGGACCGGGCCAGGGGACTTGCGAAGGGATAAGAGGGAATGTAAACAGGAAGTGTGGGTACTGGGATTAAACGATGTTCTCAGGACCGCCCCACCCACTTCTGGAGGGCCGAGGCCCTGCCCCAGTTACCCCAGCCGGGTGTGGCCTGGGCCACAGGTGTGGGTAACGCCTGAGAATTTTGGAGGTTGGGTCACTCAGGTTAGAGGTGCGGGAGCCCGGGACCTGGCCAGGGATAAGGTCTCCCAAAGTGGGTCACGTACTTCCCCAAGCTGGCCCTACGTATCATGAAGGAGTGGAGAGGCCCTAGCCAACTGTTTTTTTCTGGATCACTCTCCGCACCCCGGTGCCTAGAGTTCTAGTGGCTGTAAATCGAGCAATTTACAGGGCAAAAGTAACCTGGAGAATACTTTGGTATAGGAAGGAAGAATGATCAGAAAGTAAGGATTAAACAACTCAGGAGTTTTCACAGTTATTGACCTTTAGCCCATAGTTTTTCCATTGTGATCCAGAGCACCCATATATATGTGTCAATTGAAACAAAAGTTTTGTGAAAATGTCCCTGGTACTCTGGCATTCTCTGTTATTTTATTTGTACTTATTGATTTATTTTAAAAATTGCACAGGGTGTGAAACACTAATTTATTTCCACACGTTAGCTGGTAGGAAGCTGAGTGGATTGAAAAGGAGTAGCCCTGCAAGGACCTCTAATGACCTCCTCTAATAATGGAGACCTCTGGCCTCCAGACCCGTTTTCTTTTTAATGCCTTTCTTTTTTTCCCCTTTATTTTTTTAAGTGTATTTACTTTGAGAGAGAGAGTGAGAGAGAATATGTGCACGAGGGAGGAAGGGGCAGAGAGAGAAAGAGAATCCCAAGCAGGCTCCACACTGTCAGCACAGAGCCCAGTGCGGGGCTTGGACTCACCAACTGCGAGATCATAACCAGAGCCCAAATCAAGAGTCCACGATGGAGCCACCACGGCACCTCTAATGCCTTTCTTAAGAAATATCCAGAGTTGGTTAGAGTTACATACACATTTGGCAGAGTTCAAGTCACGAACAATGTTATCAAAACACATGTTTGAAGAGTACAGTATCTTGGAGAGGGTTAACCTTATAATGCCTGTTGCCTTATTTGTTTAGTAGTGGTTCACAACAGTGCTTTTTCCCATACTCGCAGGGAGTGCCAGGTTCTGATCTGGGACAACTAAAGTAAATGCTGGGCATTCTGGGGTCTGGGGTTGAGGTGGGGGAGCACCATGAATCAAGTCATGGCTAATCACCATGGGACTGGCACAGGTACAAAGCAGGAAGATGGGCAGGGGTCAAGGCCAAGAGTACTAAGGCAGAAACCCTAGGTCTGGGCTAAGCCAGTGTTCAAGATTAGTGAGTCAGGTGCTGGGAAGCACATATGGTCTGATGACAACTTCCTGTTCATGCAACAGATGCCTTTTCCTGCTAGGTCCCAGGGCTACTGCAAGACATGAGATCACCGACATTTCATACCTTCAGGGAGTTTCATGCAGAGACCTGAGTGATGAGGAAGTGTTAGCCAGGTGAAGGGGGTCAGGGAGGGTATTTCAGGCAGAGGCAGCAGCCTACATACCAGTCCAGAAGCTGGGAGACCTAACTCTGTAGGCACTAAGAGGATTTCAGAGTAGTTAAAGGCGAATGGAGAGGCAGAAGAAGCCTTGAGGCCTTGAGGCTTGGCCTTTATTCTAAAGACCTTAGGGAGCAGTAGGAGGGTTTTAAGCAGAGCGATGACGCTGTCAGACTGATTGGCACTGAGGGGGATGTTACAAAGACACAGGGAGTCCAGTCCTGAAAGATCTAAGGAGACCACAGGCCAAGTGTGCTCAGCCTGACGCAGGGTGGGACTCAGTCGTGTTAGGCAGCTGTGTCGCAAGAACCTGTTGTGTCACATTCGGGACCTGTTTGGGGTGATGAGGCCACAGAGGTAACCCCGAGCCCTCACCCCCCGGAGCTCGCACTTTAGTAAGGGAGTCAGACAGTAAATGGTGCTGGGTGACCAAGCAGGAGCAGCATGGGAAGCCTGAAGAGGTGAGGACAGGTGGAGGGGACCTCCACTATGTGCCATGGGCAGCCCTGGAAGCTTCTAGATAGGGCCTTTGTGGTGAGCTGTGTGCTTTAGAACGATCACTTTGGCAACCATCTGAGGAATTCAGCAAAAGTAATCAAACCAGCTGAAGCTTTTTGAGCGCATACTATGTGCCTGGTACGCTTGAGTGTTTACCTGTCAACCAATTTAACCCTCACCAAAACCCCATGAGGTTGCATATTGGCTTCCTATCGCTGTTGGGATAAGTTGCCACAAACGTGGCAGTTTAACATAGCACAGAAGTATTTTCTTTTAGTTCTGGGGGTCAGAAGTCCTGAAGTCAAGGTGTTGGCAGCGCTATATGGCTTTTGGAGGCCGGGGGAGAATTTATTTCCTCACCCTCTCCAGCTTTCAGAGGCCCCTTTCTCCATCTGTAAAGGATGTCTTTCCACCTTCTGCTTCCTTTGTCTTGTTCCCTTCCCTGATTGACTCCCCTAACTTCCTCTTATAGGGACCCTTTGATGACCTCGGGCCCACCTGCACCATTCAGGATAATCCTCCATCTTAAAATCCATAATTTCACCCTACTTTTTTGTCCTATAAATAATACATCCACAGGTTCTAAGTTTTAGGATGTTGACATCTTTATTCCACTTGCTACAGGTAGGTACTGTTCTCCCCATTTTACAGACAGTGACACTGAGTCTCAGGTGAAGCACCTTGTCCAAAGTCACAGGGAAAATACTGTATACATTTCACCTGGGCCCTTGTTCAGCCCCCAGCCTGGGCAGTAAGAAACTTCTCTGGTCCCCAGGGAAGACTTTCCAGGCTGGTTCTCTGCTCTGGGAGCTGTGAGGGCAGCTGATTATGTGTAGGGATTTAAGAGGCTTGATGGGTAAGAACCGCCATCAGTGGGTGCCTACTGTGTGCCAGGCACACTATGTCCAGAAGAGGACAGAGCAGTCCTATCCCTTGGCTTCCTGGAGTCAGACATAATTGAATAATAATCACACCAACTAGGGGCACCTGGGTAGCTCAGTCGGTTGAGCATCTGACTTTTGATTTCAGGTCAGTCATCATCTCACTGTCTGTGAGCTCGAGCCCTGCATCAGGCTCTGTGCTGTCGGCACGGAGACTGCTTAGGATTCTTTCTCTCCCTCTCTCCCTGCCCCTCCTCTGCTCACTTTCTCTCTCTGAAAAGAAAGAAGTAAACTTAAAAACATATGTATATAATCACCCTCATAGTTTCAGACTGACATTCCTGTGAAGAACAGTACAGGATGTGACCCACTGTAACAAGGCAGCCTGCTTTTGCCTCGTGGTGCATGGAAAGCAGTGTTTGGGGAAGTGATTTCAGAGAGAAGGAGTTAGTGAAGTGAGGGGCACCAGCAGCAGTTGTGAGGCAGAGGCAGGGTGTGCAGTAACCCAGAGACGTCTGGATGGGGAACAAGGGCATCCAGTCCAGGACAGATTGCAAGGGGCATGGAGGGCAGGTAAGGATCTGAGATTTTGTCCTAAGTACAGGGGGGCATGAAGGAAGGGACATGACATAAGTTTTCATTTCTTTTTTTGTTTTGTTTTAATGTTTATTTAGTAAAGAGAGAGAGAGACAAAGCGTGAGCAGGGCAGGGGCAGAGAGAGAGGGAGACACAGAATCTGAAGCAGGCTCCAAGCTGTCAGCACAGAGCCTGATACCAGGCTCATACTCACAAACAACGAGTTCATGAACTGAGCTGAAGTGGACGCTTAACTGATAGGATCACCCAGGTGCCCCAAAAATGACATAGTGTTTAAACCAGAGTCCTAAAGTACATGTTGGAGCTTAGAAGGATATCCTCTGGCACATTTCTCAAACTTGAACAATGAACCCATTCTTTTCTTTTAAAAAAAATTTTTTTTATGTTTATTTATTTTTAAGAGAGAGAGAGAGAACATGAGTCGGGGAGGGGCAGAGAGAGAGAGAGACACAGAATCCAAGGCAGGCTCCAGGCTCCTAGCTGTCAGCAGCACAGAGCCTGATGCAGGGCTCGAACTCACAAACCACGAGTTCATGACCTGAGCCGAAGTTGGACGTTTAACCATTTGAGCCCCCTGGGGCTCATATACCCCTTCTTCTTAAAGGAAAAACTATTCTAATATACCCCTTCTTCTTAAAGGAAAAACTATTCTAATATAGTGAATTAAAATATATTCCTCATGTACAAAAAACTAAGCTAGTGTAAATTCCTCTTGCTTATTCCACACACAGGCTGTAAAACAAACACAAAATTTACAGATTCAGCAAAGACAAAACTAAAATCAATTCAATTCTAGTTAAAATATTCATTACAAGCCTGTATTTTGCTGGAACTCAAGCGCTCCTCCCATCAGTGGCTCTGAGGCTTGTCAGGCAATACTTGTGATAGCCCTTTACCCTCTCCTAGGTGATTATTTGATTTGCCAGCCTCAGTTTCCCTCTTCGAAGGACCAAAACTTGGCTGTGATACAATTGGCCTTCATTTAGATCTAGCATATCCTTTACCTGTTAAGTGTGTTTCTCTTCTTATTAGGCCAAGACAATGAAAGTAGTACAGCCCTGCGTCGAGGGAGTTGTTAGCACATACAGATGCAGGCACTGAAGCTGTAGAAACTGAAAGTGTGTGTCGGTGTTGTTTATAGGGGGACTCAGAAAGGGTTTACCTTAGTTTGTTGTGTGGTTTTTCTTCCCCTTAGGTTGTTGAATGAAAACACTAACTGAAAACTCTCGTGGAAAACTTGCAGCTCCCCAAATATACAGA